CCTTTACTGTAGAGTGCGCCCCCACCTTTACTGTAGAGTGGGTCCCCTCCTTTACTGTAGAGTGTGCCCCCACCTTTACTGTAGAGTGGGTCCCCACCTTTACTGTAGAGTGCGCCCCCACCTTTACTGTAGAGTGCACCCCACCTTTACTGTAGAGTGTGCCCCCACCTTTACTGTAGAGTGGGTCCCCACCTTTACTGTAGAGTGTGCCCCCACCTTTACTGTAGTAGTGGGTCCCCATCTTTACTGTAGAGTGCACCCCACCTTTACTGTAGAGTGCGCCCCCACCTTTACTGTAGAGTGCGCCCCCACCTTTGCTGTAGTAGTGGGTCTGTGCGATCTCCAGAAGCCCGAAGATGCTGGCCATGCCCCCCAGGCCCGCGTGGGTGTAGGACTGCTCCAGGCTGAGCACGGTGCACTTGAGCAGGTCCAGCATCCCCTTGTACACCTTCCGGCTGATCTCCTGCGCAACAGCCGGGCCGGCGTTAGCGGAGCTGCCCGCGGCGTCCGCCTCCCTCTCCCCACTAGACCCAAGCCCAGCGCCCAGCACTGACCACGTCGGGGATGACGTCCTGCCGGGCGTCGTCCTCAGACGGCACGGAGCGGCTCAGCTTGCTCAGGACGAACACGCGCAGCTGCTCGCTCTCCAGCAGCCGCCGCACCTTCTTCATGTTGAGCCAGCCGACGCCCTGGCCATCCAGCACGCTGTGCACCACGTCCTTCAGGAACTGCTGGTTCTCGCTGCGGGTGCACGTACCACGCCTGTGGGCACCAACTCCTTCCCAGAGCGGCCCCCTTCGCCAAGGCTAGGCGTTCACCACCAGGGCCCAAACACCGAGCCCAGTCTCCAAATGCTCAAGCACACTGCACCCCCAGATCACCGGGTTTGCCAAGGACCCTTTGCTGTTGTTTCACCCCAACACCAGGAGCTATGACCATGGCCTGGGGGTTGATTCAGAATGGGAAGCGTCTACCTCCCTGAGAGCTTCTCTCCAGCTCATGAGCACCCTGAAGTCAGTACAGAAACCACGACCTCTCTCCAGGAGCTTTTCAGACAGCCCCCTCCCGTGCATTACCTGGAATTGCTGGAGCGGCCCTGGGGTGATGGAGGTTCTCTCTTCACTGTTGGGCTGTGCTTGATGACAGAAGACTTCTGATCCACCAGGGCCCTCCTGTTTCCTACGGCCGGGAAGGAGGAACGAGACAGCATGGTTCTAGTTGGTAGCTCGTGCCAGCACAGCCCTGGGCAGCTACGCTCCACACCCCGGCCCCAGAGGCCTGGGCAAGGCTGGCACCACGGCCTCACACACAGGTAGAAACCAGCTACGGCAATGTGGAGGAAGTGGGGATGGAGGCTCAGACCACTCCACATGCACCAGCAGTACGCCCAGGGCAAGCACGGGCGTCAGGGGGTGGGGCGAGGCGGTCACTCAAGGATGCAGCTGGCTCCATGGGGAGGATGGCCTCAGGCGGGCACAGAAGATGCTAGGAGAAAAGATCATGCACGGCTCACAGGCAAGACCCACCTTCACCACTCCCGGGGCCGGCTTCAGTAACAATCTCCATTAGAGTATTTAGCCCAAATACTGGGACACAAAATACACAATTAGTAGGTGTAGCACAATACCGTAACCCCTGAACCCCTCAATGGAGCTGTAAGCCAGATGATCTGAGCATTCTCCCAAAGCTTAGTGCCCATAACCTTGGTCCTCAGGCACCTCGGAGCTGGAAGCCAAGTGACCAGGAGACAGCCAAGGCTTTAGGGAAGATCATCCTAGATGGTGGCCGCTCAGTCAGGGCAGGGAAAGTGATACAGGGGCCTCCTGTGCTCAACAGGCGCATGCGGGAAAGGGGGCCCCTGGCCTCCCGGAACACCCAACACAGGGTCCGGAGGGTCTACAGGTATGCAGAGGGGAGAGACCCTTCTGGCGTGGAGGGGCGGGGGTGGCGGGTGAAGTGCGGCAGATGAAGTGAAGCACCAGCATGCAGCGGGAGTGGCAGCAGGTCCCTGCACCGCCCGCCTGGGGTGCCGGCGACGCGCACGTCTCCTGCCAGGCGCCAGCCTGGTGCACGTGTGGCCTCCCACGCCGGGAGCCAGGGCGCCCTTCTACCCACCTGCTCTGTTCCCATCCCCACCACGGAACATTCCCTAGATTCCTGACAGCTTAATCACTGGGAAGAGAGGGCAATTAAAAAATACAGGGAATGGGCCCTCCCTGGTGGCGCAGCGGGTTAAAGCGCAGCACTGCAAGCAAGCTGCAGCCACTGCAGTGCGAGTTTGATCCCAGGCTCCAGAGGTGAGCCACAGGGTGTGACATGTTTGTATGAATAAATAAATAAACAAATCTTAAAGAAAAAAAAGTACACAGAATGGGGCCTCCCCTGGTGGCCTAGAGGTTAAGCCTCAGTGCTGTGATGGTTCTGGCCTAAGCTCAATCCCCAGCCAGGGAGCTGACGACCCACAGGGCATAGCAGAACTCTCCTGTCTCACCTGCTGCTCCCCTCAGTAGTAGACTGTAGTGGAACTGCCTGTTCTATTCCCCACTCTGTCTCCAGTGAATCCTCTCACGCCCTGCTCCTCTGGCTGTACCCCAATTCTTCCATGCAAAAAAAAAAAAAAAAAAACCAGAACTGCTTCTCACTGTGCTTCCTACCATGACTGCATACTTCAGCATGCTATCCAAAGAAAACTGACAAAAAGAGTATGTTCAGAGGAGCCCCTCAAACTGCCAGAGATTACAAATGTAAATCGACCTGTAAGGTCCTGACTGCCCTAGAAGCCAACTTATACTATCTGGCCTACTCACAGGACCTCAGCTGACTGAAGTCACAGGGGCAGGCTTGACTGCTTGACTACAAGCCCGCCTCGCTGCCCTGGCTGGTCAGCACCTGGGGACGAGGCCACCCCAGCCCCAGCAGCAGGAGCTGGCACGTGGCTGGCAGCAGCGGATGACCCCTGGTTACTTAGCTTCCTCTGACGAGCTCCCCCAAGAAGCGACCCCACAGTGGCCATTCTCCTAAACGATGTGATGGGGCTTTTCTCTTTAGCTACAAAGACAGTTTCCTTGTGAAAACCAGCGAGAGGCGATGAGCGGCGGTGAAAGCCAGAAGAAGCCACGTGAGGGGCACAGCCAGGTCAAAGGAGCCGTCACAGGCGGGGCTCCTGACAAGCACCCACAGGCCTGTTTCTCCCAGAGGACCCTGCTGTGGTGAAATGGGGGCAAGTGTCACCTTTCAGACTGGGGAAGGGCGTGGTCTTCTCGCGGGCGCCTTTGGTGGGCAGTGTGAGGTTTGAGAGACTGAAGCTGGTACCGTGGTTCCGATACAGGCTGCCTACCGAGAGGAGCGGGGCGAGGGTTAGGGAGGCAGGTGTCCTCTCCGCCTCCTCCCTGCACACCTATCCCAGCGCCTCGGGCAACCTCAGCAGGAGTGGCTCTCAGAACAAGGCTATAGGGCTAGCTCAAACGGGATAACGTTCTCCAGGACCTCCTGTGGGTGATCGCCAAGTCTCGCAGTCACTCAGCTACCAGCTTCTGTCCCAGCCTGGCCTCTGAGGCCTCTGAAAAACTCACACTCGTCGCTTCCCCCACCCTCGCACCCCCGGGTGGGTCCCGGGGCCCTTGTCTGCCTTCCACTGCTGATACCACCCTGGTTTCTGGAAGTCATCTCTGTACATAAAAGCCATCTTCACACAGATTTCACCACACCGTCATGGAAAGTCCTTCCCAGGCAATAAAAAGATTCACCCAAATCGAATCTGATCAGAATGTTTCCCCAAAATACACATACAAGTAGGTGATTTTGAATATAATGCTTGTTTTTAACTTGACTGATGATCTATCTAAAATAGAAGCCTCCAGGTATAATCTGCCAGTTCCTTTACTGATCCTTCCTTCACCTCACCTGAAAATTTCCTATTCACTATCACCCAACCAGCTCAAAATGGGCTTGATAATGCCAGAGCTGGTTTGGTAACGCCAGCCCTGCCCTACCAGGGAAGTTCTGAGTGGCATGTGCCTGGCCGGGCCCCCCGAGAGAGGCTGGGACAGAGGCATGAGGGAGCACTTACTGGCAAAAGACACGATGCCCCCGAAGCCCTCAGTGCTGTTGTTGGAGACGGTGGAGGTGGGAGAGCTCGCTCGGGAGTCGGACTCTGCGTCTGAGTCGCTGGCCAGTTTCAAGCTGTTGGGCCGCAGCAGCTTTTGAGCCCTGGAATGCACAGGGGTACCTATGAGCCCCGGGCCGGGGCGCCTTCCCTTGGGGAAGGTGGGGACCGCTACCCTGCGGTCACCACCCCCTCCCCATGGCTCCTCAACACAGAGATGAAAGCACCACCTCTGGGGGTGTGAGGACCACGAGAGCATTTGGCCTTCTGGGCTTTCTGGTTGCCCTCAGCCAGGCTCACTGCAGTGAGGTCCGTCCATCACCCACCGGGCAGGAACCCCCAGGCTCTCACCAATTGCCATTGACATGTTGGCTGAATCGGGGAGTGTAACTTTCCCCCTGCTCATCATCATCTTCCTCAGGGGGAAAGTCACACTGGGGCTCCCAGTTGGGACTGTCATAGGTTCGCCGGCGCACTGACCCCTCTCCGGGACGCCTGTCCACGCTCGATTTGCCGGCGCTGGGAGGCATGGGGGGAGGGGGCTTGGAGCCGCCTGCTGCTGCTTTATCGTCCACCTCTGCTGAGTCAGAAGGTTCCTGAGGGCCACACGAAATAAAAGGTGGTCACCAGTGCCAAGCGGTGCTGGGCCACAGTCTCACTTCTGCAAGGCCAGGCCTGTCAGATCGCGAAGCTCAGGAATGTGTGGGCGAGATGGGTGTCTCCCCTGTTTTCTGTGCCTCTCAATTATGCAAGGTCGGGGGGGGGGTCCTAGCTAAACCCTGACAAAGCCTACGGATCTCCTTCTGGTGTCAAAATCCTCTCTCACAGGCTCTGAGCTTTAGGACTCAGGGAGGGAAAATGGGGAGGTCATGGGGCAAATAGCAAATCGATAGCTTCAACAGAGCTTTCCTCGCAGAGCTGGGCCCTCCCCAAGTGACCGTCCTCAGCCCTACAAATCCTCACGTACGGAGCTGGCTCCACAGACGATGGTGCTGGAGTGGCTGCTGGCGGTGGTGCCGGGGCTAGAGTGCAGCAGGCGGTTTTCCTGAGCGTTCTCATTGTCGGGGCCAGGCAACTCTGCTTCCTTCTGGCTCTGCAGCTCGTCGATCTCCACCTCACTGGCATCTCCCAGCGCTGCGTGTGTCAGTGGATCCACATCTGCCATAAAACCAGGATCCAGAGACCACACGGTCCTGGAACCACCCCCCACCCCCACCCCGGCCCAGAGCTGCCAACTCCCCCGTACACCTACTAGGAGTATCGCCGCTGATGTCGCATTTCATCATTTCACTGACAAAGTCACCCAGAGAAGAGTAGGAAGAGCTTGAGTCATCATACTCCAGACTATCGCTGCCACTGTGGAGCCAAGAGCACAAAAACAGGTGTGAAACAGAAAGACACGGCAGGGAAAAGAATCACGCATCACCACTGGGAGACTCTCCAGGGGCCTGCACAGCCACGGGCGGGGGATGAGTCGAAATAAGGACGCGAGCACAAAGCAACCAGCCCGGGTAGAGCCCCGGAGAGCCACACCCGGAGAGGCGCCCACTGGGCTCTGCGCGGGCTGCTCACCTGTCGTCCGTAGGGTCAGAGTCGGAGTCGCGCCCGGGGGGCACGCTCAGCGCCTCGGCCAGCTGGGAATGGCTGTCGTAGACGCGGTAGCGGATGGGCTGCAGCTGGTGAGCATACCACTTCGGCTTGTCGCCGATCAGGGCCGGATCAAACATGTCTGCTCAGCAGAAAAAGGGAATGGCGTTAACAACGGGAGGGAATGCAAGCAGAACATAAAAGAAGGGGAGGAAAAAGCCTCTGGAGCAGAACGGGAGAGAGAGAGGCAGGTCAAAGATAAGAAAGGGACAGCTCAGAGGCAAGAGCTACAGGCAGAGGCCGGAAGGAAAAGGACCGGGCCGGGGGGCTGACTCACTGTTGTGAATTCGTTGAAAGGCGTAGTTGGTGGGGTTAAGGATCCACTCTCCGAAATACTCGACGGCCTGCGTCCTGGCCAGTTTCTCAGCAAACGGAGTCTGCCGGGGACGTGAGGCTAGAAAGGAGCCGGCTTGGAAAGCTACCACTGGCCGAGGGAAGAGACGCAGGGTACGCGTGTGCATCTGAAAGCCCTGCAGCACGTTGGGGGAGTTGAAGAAACGGACCATGGCCACTCTGGGGAAGAAGGGGGTGGTGAGGTCATCCAGGTCCCACACCCTGCAGAGTAAGGATCCCTGCGACCCAAGGTCTCAGGCTGTCCCACATCATTTACAGGCTCCCAGCACTGGGGAAGGCAAAGGACCAGCCATCCCTTCTTTGCCCACGGCCTACAAGGCCTGAGAATGTGAGCTATGTCTTCTCTGCTGTTCCCAAGGTGGCGAACACCTTATTTGGATCTATAAAGCAGCCAACGTGTCTTACATACAAAGACACTCAGGCTCAGTAGGCAGCCTGCCCCCAGGTCCCTGAGGGGCAGAGGCGGCTCCAGGGCGTGTGGGTGTCGGGTACGCTGGACCTACCTGGTTGCAACATCCACAGAGTCTACATCATTGCCATAGATGAGCGGGTTGAACTCGGTGGAAGGTGTGGACTGAAGGTCACTGGAAGGCCTGCCCAAGAGAAGGGGGATCTCTTGGCCCTCGTGGAACTTCTCCAGGTTGAGGATGGGCTGGGTGTTCAGACTCATGCTGGCAAGGGCCTGAGGGACAAGAAGAAAGCCCACATAGGAGGTGTCCTGGCAGTGCTAACGCTGCTGGTCCGGGGCCCCAGGGGGGGAATACAGGATCAGTGAGCCCAAGGATCTCAGCTTCCAGAAACATTTCAATACCATTCTGCACAGCCACATCTCCATCTCACTTGTCATAAAACAAGGAAAGACAGCTAGAGAACTTTCTGGCTCGCAGTCCTCACCAGACTGCAGTAAAGAGGTATCGTGTTACATCAGCAGTGAAGTGTGCGCAAGTGAGGATGATACAGAATGACCCACTTAATGCAAACAGAGAGCTTCTAGAGGGAATGCCAAGGAGCTCAGACAACGCAGAGCTTTCTGAAGACCCTTCAAGTGCGAGCAGGGATCCCTAAAAGGAACTGCACAGCCATCTACCAGGTCTACACAACGCACACAGCAGGGCGAAGGACCAGGGTCTGGTCTGGTTGTACCTTTAGGTACGATGTTCAGCAGGGAGAAGAAGAAAACCAGTGAATGAAAAGTGCATTTAAAGGACGACTTAAAGAAAGGAGTTTTTGGAGGAAGGATTCTTTAGGGACCTAGAGATCAATTAAAGAAGGAAATACGAAAGGAGCCAGACCGTCCAAACTCCCTCTTTACGAGGCTGAGCGAACACTCCCAGGCCCTAAAGGATGGCAGCTGTGACAAGAAACAGAGAGCGAAGGGCTAAGCATGACGGGGGCGGGGACACACAGTGAATCAGAAGGAAGCTGACAAGTCCCAGGCGAGCGTCACCCTGCCACCCCGAGTGTCCACCTAAGGCTAGAAAACACGCCTGGCCGTCTGCGTGGCGCTGGCCCTCAGGACGGCCTACTGCGGCCCCGCGCCACGCCCCGGCTCTCTCACTCCCCACACACCTGCTTTAAATGCTTCTTCAGCTCTAAGGACTCTGGTTCCGGCAGGACAGGGAGCACGTCTGCATTGGTTGGGGCGATCACCTGCGTCGGAGAGAAGGTAAAAGCGCGCCTTAGCATTGAACGCCCAGGAGTTTCTCATACAAAAGGGGAAGCAGCATGCGTCGGACTCTGTGGACACCATGTTGTCACATACGTCTCTCACACACATACACAGACACACCTGGGAAACAGACGCAAATGTTAGTGGATGTAACGGGTAACATGGTTTTCTTCTTTAGAGTTACCTTTTAGTAATTCTTTTTTTCTTACTTTTTGTTTGTTTGGTTTTTGCGTAGAGAACTGAAGTGTAGGCCAGAGGTAGGGGAGTAAGAGGAGCCACCAGAGACAGAGTGTGCAGCACAGCAGGCAGATTTCCACCAGAGTGAAATACACTCCTCAGGGGAGCAGCAGGCGAGACAGGAGAGGTCTGCTGTGCCCTATGGGTCAGCTCCCTGGCTGGGGACTGAACTCAGGCCATAGCCGTGACAGTGCTGAGACTTAAGTGCTAGGCCACCAGGGAGACCACTAATAATCCTTACATGTACCTAGACTTCTTTCTCATGCTTATTTGTACTTTCTAATGCCACGCAGTAACACACAGAGGGGCTTCCTACTGAGGTTTGTGTACTCACATTGCAGGATGTCAAAGTAAGTTTTTCTACAGTCTACAATGACAGATAGCTTCTTACTAGAAATCACCCCAGAAAAACTATCCGCTGACCCATGACTCTAGTAAGGGCCCCACAACCACACTGCTCTGTTCTTGGAAGATGTGGGAGGAGCACTTCATTCTGGCAAAACTTAACCCAGTAATTCTTTGCCTTTAACCCAGGGCCTGTTAAATCAATAAAATAAATGGCACATTTTAAAAGAAAGTGTCAATGAGTCTCACAACAGAAATCGCCTACCAACTTAGGATCTTCTGGGGAGTAACCCGGAAAGACAAAACACGATCCTAGTCTGGACTCTGTAATGCCTCAGTCAAGAGACTCACCCTGTTGCTGTCCAGATCCACTAGCCACACGTCATCAGGCATTTTGAAGTCCAGTTTGTAGAGAAAGAAGCTGGCAGGGACCCCAATGATATATGGAGTTGGAGCCAACAGCAACTAAGGAAAGGAAAAAGAGGTTAAGACCAAAGCCAAAGCCTCCTGGGCTTACCTATTGCCAGGTGAGATAGAACGCAGTTCCACTCCCCCTTGCAAAAGGGGGGTTGTTTTTCAAAATTCCGAATTTTTCAGATTTTACAAAGGCAACAGTACATTTCCTATCTACCGTGTAATGCCTGTCATGGAATAGTCAGTAGATGATAATCATTAACTATGATAAATAAAGACCATAAACAGCAAAGCTTTTGCCACCAGATCAGTTCATTCAAGGTCGTATTTTTCAGACAAATGAGTCAGGATATGGGATGCAGGAGCGTTTGCATGGTTTGTAACTCTTTGGGCAGTGAGCCTTCTCCCTCAGAGCTGGACAGGCTTGGGAGACAGCTGTGACAAAGCAGAAGGCACCTTGAGACTCACCTGCTCTGCTGATGCCATGCAGGTGGGCAGCAGTGGGATAACAGGAAACATGTACTCCAGCGGGTAGATCATGGCCACAAACGCCATCACAGACATGGAGAGCGCGTTGTAGTCTCGCGACTGCAGCACCACCTGCCACGGGTCACCCCCGGGACCGTTCAATAAGGGAAGTTCATGAGAAGTCACCTTCCAACATGACCACCTAATCTGTTTCACCACACCGACATGCCGACAAGTTGCCACAATTACCACTGCCCACGCCTCACCCCGCCTGCCAGGCCCCTACCCCAGGGAGCAGTAACGCTCCCTGGAGCCACTCCCCTGCTGTCCTAGAGCTGTGCCCTCCATCCCAGGAATAACCGCTCCCTGGATAAGAGCTACTGTATTTCCAGAAAATAAGACCACTCGCGTGCCGGAGAATCAGCGGAGCGGCAAGCCCCTTGGATGCATCTCCACGAGACCAGCACCTTGACTCAAGCCACGCTGACTGAGCAGCTGCTCTAGCCTGGCACTGAGTTACTTCCCAGAGAAAAACATGAAGAAGGCACAGTCCCTGCCCTAGAAAAGCTCCCACTCGAGCCCTTGCCAAGTAAGGACTGGGAAACCGGCCCTCTCACCTTGTGCTCTAACAGGATGCAGGTGAGCACCTGAAGGCAGGCGTCCACACCCAGAAGTTCCAAGGGAAGGTGCAGGGGGAAGTCCACTAGGGTGAATCGAGAGGGGTCTGGAAGGGCAAAGGTCAGGGCCTGCTGGACTTCCTGGGGGAGGACCTCAATGTCTACTCGCTTCTGCCCAGAGACGGGCACCGGGGAACGCAGCAGCCGATAGATCCATGCCTCGATCTCGCGAAGGTCGTGCAGGAGGGCGCTCGACTTCTCCTCCACCAGCAGCGACCCAGTGAAGATGCGCCACATGGTGTCCCTGAGGCACAGACACAGAGACAGACGCGTGAGGAGCAGGGGCTGGTCTCTGGCTGTACCCCGATGTCACGCTGCGGGTGCAGCGAGGCCAGCTGGAAACGTTCACTCTCTCGCTCAGCCAGGACCAGAGGGTACGCCCGGGTGGGAACACACGTACAAATGTACAGATGGCAGGACTGAGCGTCCTGCCCGCCACGAAGCATCAACTCCTCGGCGTTACTCTGAACACGACGACGACGGCAGCCCAGCTCTGAAGCAGCCTTGTGCTTCACGAGGATGGTGTGTTTCGGGCGGGCTGGAGGCCTCGGGCTTTAGGCGACCTGGCCTCTGCCGCAGCCCCGTTGCACCTGGCCCCTAAATGCCACCCGTGCCTCTGAGAACCAGCCATACCTCTGAATGCCTCGAGGGATGCTCAGCTTCTTGCCCAGCAGTCGCTCACTGCAGCAGTCCACCAGGCGCTTCAGGGTGTACAGGCACTCTCGGAAGGTGGAGAAGAAGGGGTAGTGGCTGAGCACGCACAGGGACGTCAGGGTACTGTTGCGGGACCGGCTCCCCACCTTGGCCCGGCGCTTGCCCCGAGGAGACTGGTTCACGTCAGGGGTGGAGTCGGTGCTGGGAGGCTGCAGGGATGAGCCGCTCTCCGAGCTCTCTTCCGAGGCACAGGTGGTGGCACGCGGGGCTTCCTTCCCTCGGGGCCCGTTCCCCCCGCCCCCCTTCTCCTTCGGCATTCGTTTCTGGAAGGAGCGGTAGAAGTTAACACAGATGCCATAACGCGTGACCCCGGAGTCCTTGTCAGTGAGGGTGAAGACGAACGAGGTGTCGTCCCGCAGGCTCGTGCGCCGCTGCCGCACACTCAGGCAGCCCTCGGGCTGGCAGAAGAACACTACGTCGGGGGGCAGGGGGAACTCAGGGTGATCCTCGAGGGGGTACCGCCGCAGGAGCTCGGGCGTCTGGGCCACGCTATCGCTGCTCGGGTGTCTGAAGAACATAAAGACAAACTCAGTGGCCTAAAGCGACGGACGCTCGTTTACATTTCAACCTTCCAGGCAGGCTCCATGCTGCTGTGTGTGGACAAAGCAACCTAACTGCGGGGCCTTTACAAACACAGAGGCGGGTCAGCTGGGAGGCTAAGTGAGGTCTGCACCTTCACATAGACAGCCGCCTGGCCTGACATTCCAGAACTGTACCAATAAAATCATCTCCAATGCCTTCAGGTGATTAGCACCTTTCAAGGTGTAGCCAAGAATGACCAAAACAGCCTATGTAGGAGAGAAGTCACACAGTGTGCTTTTCCACTTCTACAGAATAAGGAAACTGAGCATACAGCAAGTATTTGCCCAATGTCACAGAGGTGCTCTGGCCTCCAGGCCAGTACCTCCACCCATCTGACTGGCACTGATATTCCCATCAGGGTAAAATAACAGGGAGAACATGAGCCATTTAAAGCAACATGGAAATGGGGCAAGGATGGATTTTGTGATTATCCCACAGGACAAGACAGAAGCCAGTCTCTGCTTGATTACCTGGCCCCTACGATCACTAGGTAGTCAAGTAACCGAGGACAGAATTTCTTCTTCTGCACCATGGTTCCAATTCATCAGTTCATCTCAGAGAAGCTTCAAGGTCCAGAGCAAGGTGTCAGTGTTCCCAGGAGGAATTGTGATATCTGAAAATCCAAGTTTAATGGGGAAAAAGTACTGATAAGATCCATTGTTGTGCCTCAAGGGACTCTTCTCAGCTTCATCCCAGCCAAGGGCATAAGTCAGGTCTTTCACTTAGAGCTAAAGATGGGAGCACCTGGCACATTTTTTAGCCCAGAGTTCAAACTAGGTTTATGAGTTCACAAAGCCAAATGTCACCAAGTAAGATAAATAATGGCTCCCCTCCCCTATAGACCAGCTCATTTCCAGTCTTGCCCCTGGGGCTCTGTTTCTGAAAAATAGATTCAGTGAGTCCAATCTGGAGTCAGTTATTATGATAACAAAAATTAAGTCACTCTCAGGACTGCTCCAGGGTGGATCAGGATCAAACCAGACTCTAATCAGCGCTAATCTGCACTCCTAGCTCTAGCTGGAGACCTAATTACTCTCTGTTCCAACATTCTGTGCATTCAGTTTGATGGGAAGCTACAGTATAGACGGTATAGTTAATTGCACTCAGACAATAAGAGCAGCTGGCTCCTCTACCTCATGCGATCTCAAATGAAGAGTGTCTGAACCCCAACTGCTTCTCCTAAACTATTGTTCTCCACTCTTCAAAGGAGAAAGGGGCCTGGTGGCCACTGCCATGAGCTCTGCCCTTGGTGCTGAATCATGCCCTTTCTTTATTCTGGTCCCAGGACTAGAGTTGTTACTACAATACATACAAAAGAGACCAGGTCCTTCTATGTCTTACAAAGGTTAGGAGTTAGATAAATACCAGGTTTCTGTAAGGACAGGAAGAGGTGTTCAGAGGGATTTCTAAACCATAGTCCAAGAATTAGGAAGCACGTACATGGTCTCAATAATAACTTATTTCCTTTTGCATTTTCCTTAGGCTTTTCTGAACAAAATGTTTCACTCCCCTACAAGACTATTTTCAGTGCTTCCAGGGTTCCATCCCTGTGCTCCCCATGAGGCCACACTAAGACCGTGTAAATGAGAGAGCCCCATGACACGAGACCCTCACTCACGTCACTCCCTCTGCGCTGCTCAGCGCACTCCCGTACACTGCTTGCTCTCTGTACACGTAAGGCACTATTTGATTTAGACGATGAATAGAAGTCCCATCTTTTTATTCTCCCCTACTTAGTAATAAAAACAGACCTATTTGTAATACTGCAGAAAACCTCCAAATATTGTTCCCTCCTTTCTCTTGCTCCCAATAGAGGACCTGCAGGTAATAGGATTCAATTTTGTCTCCATAGCGACTCTGGCTCCCAGCACTATTTATAGCTGAGCCACAGCCCCTCCCCTGCTCGGTGACCGCACAGTGCTAGCAGCTGCTACTCTGGAGTTGGCCAGGGCCCCCAAACAATTCACTCTCCTTGAGTCTCCCACTCCGGCATCTGCTGGTTACTAGGTTATCTTCTCTCACATCTGTCTTTAGTTTGCACTGAAACTAAATGAAGACAAAACCAAGTGTGCAAGCATGCCAAGCAAGTAGACATCACGACCACCCCAAAAAAAACCTTTCGTTCTTTCACTGCTCCAGAGTCCTGGGCATAAGGCAGAAGGTGGAGCGCCACCACAGAGCTGAGCTCAGCTCCTCCCAAGCAGAATGAGAAGGGAAATAGAGAAATGCAATGGGAGCTGGGTAAAGTATAATTGATTCCATAAAAGAATTATGTGGAAAATGCCTGAGGCCAGGAGCCAAGTGTCTAAGAGAGCACAGTATTTACAGAGTCCAGCTCAAGGCTAAACCTTGAGATATATGTTCACATTGAAAACCAGGAGCGCTTTTCTGCCAATGTCTCAAAGTTCACACCTGAAGCATCTTGTACTAATATAGTAGGCGTCAGATTTCTACTCTTGGTGGGATCTCAGCCCCTCTCTGCTGAGAATAATTTGCTCAGACTCAACATTATCAGGTTCCACAGTGCCCATCGCCCTGCAGATCCATAAATGCTTTAAGATCTAGTGAATATTTTACCTATTAGTGATAGATTTTTAGCCACTATTCATTTCTGATCCACAGCCCTGTTCGGTTGTTAGACTGCAAAGATAAACAGGGTTTTACTTCCCACCTCTCCCCGTACCCCTCTCCACAAAGACGCTAAGTCCGCCAGCAACAGCTGTAACACATACTGTCTTTACACCCACAGTCTCTGGCTGTAACCATGTTTACTAACAGCGAGTTGCCGGTTCTGAGCTCCATTAGCTCTTACACCACCGTCTACTGCACTGGCTGCACATTTAAAATTCACAGATTTTTATCTTGATCTTTTCAGACCACACCAAATAACCCTCTGGATTAATCCGTCGTCTGGGACAGGATGTCGTACAACCACAGGAACCAGAGCAAGATAGGGCATCTTTGCTGACGTGAGCACAACAGGAGCTCTCCTGCCTTCCTCCCTCTCCCCAGGCAGTGACCTTGCAAGCGCATCAGCACAGACAGGTCCAGCACCGGGGAGAAAGAGAGCAAATAGGCAGGCAGGAGGCAGGCGTAGGGAGCAGGGAAGGGCAGGAAGGGGAGGAAGGCTTTAGAGATGCGCGACGATGACAGGGAAGCAGTTGCAGGGCAGATGAAACGGTGTCTCCCCGCTCCAGCAGGCCAATTTTGAGGCACCAGCGTTTAAAAACAAACCAAAAAAATCGCAAAGACCCAAACGTGGTTTTCCAAACCCTAGCCAAAAATAAGGCCTGCGCCGCGCACGCCAGGTGCGCGCCAGGTGCGTCTCCCGGCTCGGCCCCCGCGGCTGGACAGCTCTGCCCGCCCCCTCACCTGCTGGACACTTCGCCGCCGCCGCCCCGGAACCAGCGCCGCCCGCCTGCCCCGCGGCAATCGGGGCCCGCTGCCCGCACCCCTGGGAGGGTGTGTGGACAGCCCGGTGCACCCCTGCCTATAGCCTCGCCTCTTCTCTCCCGTCCCCTCCCCGGAGACCCCGTGCCCCGGCAGACTCGTCTAGGGCCGCCGCAGAAGCCCCTCCTTCCTGGAGCCGCGTCGGCTCCCGGAATCCCGGCGCCCCCGTAGGAACTCCGTCCACACGCCCTCCCAGGGCGCCCCGAGGCCGCCGCCGTCCTACCTCTCGGGCCTCAGGGGAGCCGCCAGGCCCGGCAGGACGTCCCGCGGCAGCCGCAGCGGCAGCCGGGCGTCAGTGGCTCCCGGCGCGGGGCCGTCAGGGGCGCGTCAGTTCCGCGTCCAGCCCGGGGGGCGCGTACCACTCCGGCCCCGCGAGGGAGCAAGACGGGGGGCCGGGGGCCGTAGCATTCACCCCCGAGGGGACCGGGCCACACCGCGCCGGGCCCCGAAGGGTGGAGGCGAGCTCGGGAGCGAGGCGGCTACGCACACACCTAGGCGTGTGGGAGTGGGAAGGCGAGAGGCGCGCGGGGCCAGCCCAGCGCCGCCGCGTGCCAAGGGGAGGACCCACAGGAGCGCCTCCCGCGTAGCGCGCGCCCGCAGCTTCTGGCCCGCACCGCAGCTCAGCCCCTTTCGGCCGCGGGCCGCTTCACCTGCGAGCGACGGCTCCAGACGAACTGCCCCTGGCTCCTTCGGCCGTCCCCCGACACCCGACCCCCCTCCCCCGACGCGGCTTGGAAGGGCCCGGCCGCCCGGGCTGGCAGCCGGCGGCGCGGGCGGCGGAACCTACCACTGCAGGGCGGCGGGGGGGGCGGCCGCGGCCGCACCTCTAAGGGCGGCGGCGGGGAAGGGGCGTGAGCCGCGCCGCGGGGCCCCCTGGGAAGTGGAGTCGGCTCCCCGCCCGACGCGAGAGGGGCAGCCGGCTCCTGCCCTCGGCAGGCTGTCTGTCCCTCCTGCCCCACAGGGTCGGGGGACCAAGAAGAGGGACTGTTGTCCCCTCTCTTTCAGGTGCCAACGGGAAAACGAAGGCCCGCGCGCGTTCGCGCACGCACGAGCACAGGTGCTTGGCTGAATCTTCCGTAGCGCGCGCGCGCGCACACACACACACACACACACACACACACACACACACGCGCGCGCGCGCACGGCAGGCCACGCGATGCTACCCGGATAAATAAGGGGGCACCCATGCCTCGCATTGCATCAACGCTCCCGGTTGGTAAAAGGGAATCCCTTCTCACAGGTGCCAAAGCTGTCATTAGTGACTCCCTCCTCCCGGCGTGGAGGAGGAGCCTTGAGGATGCCGCGGCCGCCTCGGTTGCACCCCCGCCCCCAATCCAGAAATTGGTTTCTCTCATTCTATATTCATTTTGATCTTCCTGTGCAAACAGTGCCAGACCTATCAGTGAAGCAGCCTCGAGGCATTTATGGTCAAGCCACAGAGCTACAGTGGAGAAATTCTCTCCCGGGCCCTACAGGGGAAAACAGGAAGTGGTGGAGGCAGGATGGGCAGGGCCCGGGAGAATCTTGTGCAAAGTGGCCCCTGGGTTCGTCCTTTTGCTTGGGCCAGTACAGTCTTCAAACGGAGCACCGTTTTACCAGGACCCGCACTCCCAAGGTTTTGACTCTTCTTTAATGTCACTCGAGGCTCTCCTTTGCCCAGCTCGGGGAAATGTTTGCCCTTCTCAGTCTGCTCCACCTCTGGGGGGGGGCAGCCACCGGGCCTCACCCCTCCAGCCCAGACAACAACTGATGGTGGGGCGAGAACAGTCATTCATGCACATCCCAGATCTCAGAGAGCAGCGGGGGAAGTTTCTTGTCCTGCAGGCGCAGAGCGAACACTTGCTCTGAGTGGACGCTGCTCAGTGTCCGGAGGCTCACCAGTTTCATCAGCATTCGTGGGAACATCAGTCGGTCCTTGGGAAAGGAGAGGGGAAAGTACAGCCTTTGTCTCTCCTGGGGAAGGAACCCACCGGGTAGGAGCCCTGAGGGAGAGGTACAGAAGGCCCGCACCATGTAGGCGGAGAGGGGTCCTTGAAGGGAAAGGTGGCTTGTCGGGGAATGGGCCTGTGAAGAGGCGGGAAGGGCACCATAGGGAGACTCACATGGGGGTGGTGGATGGAGACGTAGGCATGCAGGGCCTCCACATATGTGTGTTGCAGCCTCTCCACCTGGAGCTGGTCCTGCACGTTGGGCCGGTCTATAGGTCACCAACAGAGTTGAGGAGCAGGTCTGGCCAGGGTCTTACTTCCCCCAAATCACAACCAAAATAGGAACATGCCCCACCCAGCCTCTCCCAAATAACACTGCCAGGACCTCCACCCCCACATGCCTGCCGGACAGGGCTTCCTTGGTGCAGAGAGACCCCTCGCTCATTTTCCTCTTGCCCCTCCTCCGCACCTGCAGAGAAGATGCTGATGGCGATGAGCAAAGCAAACTCGGCATCATTGAGCTGCAGCTCATTCATGGCTCTGGAGAACTCGAAGATGGGGTTGATGAACTCCACCTGCAGCCCTGGGGCAGAAGACCGGAGGCTGGGTCGTGGGGTACCGGCAGTGGAACTTCCTTCTCTAACTTGTCGAATGAGGGTACTAGGAACTCCAAGAGAAGCCCCCAGGGTTCTGCTGAGTTTGGGCGAGTTCCTTACCCTATCCTGTTATGAGATGGAATCATATCTGAACTCGGGAGGCCACTGTGATGGTTATAGGATAAAGCATGCAGAACACTTAGTGTTTCCAGTACTTAGTAGATGTTGAATCAAAGGATATAGTAATTATGTTATTCTTAGAATTCTTGAGAGCCCCAGCTTGCTAGAAAGAGAAGCCACTCGTTACTGTTTAAGGCAGCTTTCAAAAGAAGAAGAAGAAGAAGGCTTTCACTGGCAACTAAACATCCATTTCAAGTTTCACATGGCAGTGGGGACCTAGCAAGGTGGCTGAGGATGGAGGCTCTTCTCTTAGACTGTGTGGGCTTGAAACTTGGCCTCCCCATTTTTAGTCTGGGTGACCTTGGGTAGGTGACTTAAGCTCTCTGGGCCTTGGTTTTCCTATCTGTAAAGTGGAGACAGTAATAGTCTCTACTTCATAAAGGAGTCTTAGGATAATGTGTTGCATGTGTGATAACTACTTTTGTTTGTTAAGTAAATTAAAAAATAATAATAAAACAACAGGTGCTGAGGAGACTAAAGTTCAGGAAGCCTAAGCTAAAGTTCGAACTAAAGGCACAGCATGTAAGTAACAACGTCTCCCACTCACTGTTATGGCCTCCCCTGCCCCAGCGTCCTCCGGTCTTTTCCCCATTTCTTTTAGCAGCTCTCTGCTAGCTTTCCCATTCAAGCATCTTGATTAGTCACTTCCTGTACTTTCACCCTGTTCATCAAGCATGTGTTAATCCACTTAACAGACAAGCCCCATCTTATCAGGCATTTCTTGGTAGGTTTTAGGCCTTGAATTGTGCCCCACACCCCTTGCTGTGGAGAAGCGGGGTGCTTCTGAAGTCGGGATGTCAGCCTGCCTGCCAGAGGAAGTCTTCTGTGCATCAGATCAGTCCTCACAAGCCACCGCCCAGGGCAGCATGTGGTGGTGGTGGACAGAGAGGGTGCGGGAGACCTGACAAAAGCGAGCCCTGTTCCCTTAACCCAAAATCTCAGTGATGAAATGAAAAATGAACAGTGAATGTGGTGACATCAAAACTGTATATAATATGAAGCTATAAATAGGTGCAGATTTGGAAAGCAGGAGTCTGTAGGTCTGAGGCAATACGGGCATGAGAACTAGGAAGGCTTCAGAGACAAAGCCCATGTCAGGAAGGCCACGGTCAAGGCCGGGGATAGTGCCCCTTTGGGAGAAAGTTGTTATGGTGAGAAAGGGTGCAGGGGTGGCCTTTGCGATGAAAACAGTCACCCAGTCGCCACCAGCAGGTGACTATGCACCCTACATTCCTGGCACACATGAGCCTGGCGTGTTCAGCCATCTAAAAAAAAAAGCGTTTGAGAACCTCCTTAGGAAGCTCACTGAGGGCCTTCTGTTGGGTCACCAAGGAGCATATGAGCTGTTCTGAGTCTCCACAACCAAGAGAAGCTTTGGTGAACTCTGACCTGGAAACCAGGCCCCCGAGAATGGCATCATGGCATCAACAGTTTACAGACGCCACTCATTGGGGCTAAGCTACTCACTCTCCTGTGGAGTCTGAGTTCTTGGGGGTCCAAAGTTCTTTTCACTCCAAACCCCACTGCCCAAACACAAACAGTACCAGCAGCCAGATGTAAGCAAACCAGGGCTGCTTAGACCACAGCATCAGAGGGCAGTGCTGTGTAGCTGGAGAGAACACCCCAGCTACAGGCTGGGGTTCAAAACCTTGATGCCTATGCTGAACTTGCCCATCCAGATGGGTGTGGTGGCCAGGCTTCAGCTCTGATGCCCTGGCTCGTCAGGAAGAGAGGAGGAGAAATCAGTCCCATGACTTAAAGAAGGCATCAGAGGGGGCCCTCCTTGGTGGCACAGCGGGTTAAAACACCACATTATGAAGCTCTCCGAAGCACCACAGCACAAGTTCGATGCCCCGCCAGGGAGCTGACCCCCATGGCGTGGCAGACCTCTCCTGGCCCGCCCTCAGCTCCCCTCAGCAGTATATTCCAGTACAGTTCTGTTCCCTACTCTATCTCTGGTGAATCTTCTCACCCATCACACCTCTGGCCTGTACCCCAGTTCTGTAAGCACAAATAACTAAATCTTAAAAAAAAAAAATGCATCTGAGGAAGAGAGCTCTGCCCACTGACAACCAAAACGCTTGTGGTTGTCAGACTTCTTCCCCTAGCTATAAAATCTTTTCTTCAATGAAAACATTGCAAATGTAGCTTCTGATGTGGCTAAAATAAGAGTGAAGTAAGCACATTCCTGTGTCTCCATTTCTACTCTAAGGTGACAGTGGCACCTGCTTCCGTGGAACACTGTTTGAAAACCATGGGCCTAATGCAACAGAGAACTGGGCGATATTGGGGGGCAGCTGAGCGAGAACCATCAGCAGTTCAACTTTTTTCCTAGCCAAACAAGTGGTATCTTCCCTTGACAGCCCCTCAACCTGGGCCTAAGGCGTTGTGCTCACTGAGGTCTGTGATACAAAGGTCCCTTAGCGATTTTTCCTTCTCACCTGCTTTGGCAAAGTCCTCCCGGTTATAACTGAAGTCCTTGAGGAAGGTGATACTCTCACTCCCAGGGTTGTACCGCCGAGACGTTTCCAGAAGCATCACCTGCACACAAGTAGCAGACCTCGAACAGGGACTGGCCCTGGCCCGGCCTCCTCGGAGGAAAGGTCAAGGCCCTCATCCCTATTTCTTGGTGGACCTGGCTCCCTGTCGCCGGCCGGGGCCACCCCACAGACCGTCCCACCCTGGCTTTCCCTTCACTCCTCCTCCCTTGCCAGCCACCTCAATCGCAGAGGTCTTCAGCAGGGCGATCTGGTCCTCCCGGCTGAGCTGCAGGAAGCCCGGCAGCTGTTTGGCAAAATCGACAATCTCCTGCACAGAGACGATGGCCAGCTCGGTGAAGTGGGCAAAGCGCTGCTGCCGGGCCTCCCGACTCTGGGGATCCGGTGCCATGGGCCAAGGCTACCCAGACGGGGCGGGAGGGGAAAACAAATGATTCTGAGTAGGCTGTCGGGAAGCCGCCCGCTGCCCTGGGCACAGCCAGCTCTCTGGGCCCTCCTTACCGTGACTCGAAGCCGGTCCGAAAAGGAGCGTCTGTTGCACTGTTGCTGGGCGGCCACCAGCTTCTCAATCATGCCCAGTTGCTCCTGGCTGAGCTGGGGCAGGACTTGGGGAGGTGAGGAGGCCCTTGAGGGCACAGCTGTGGCCTGAGCCTGTTCCTCCTCCTGCCTTCTCAGTTTCTTCAGGCGGATCTGTTCTTCTGACAAGACACCTGCGGGCAGGGTCAGGTGTGAGGAGGGGAGAGGAGGGGGCCAGGGAAGCAAGGACTCAGGAAGAGCAGAGAGCTTGGGTAAAGGCCTGGAAGGGAGCCCCTGCCTAGGCAGGAGGGTTGCTGGTGACCCTCCTACCTGCAC